CTGAAAAAAAGAACAAACTCTTGTTCATTGGGAGGTTTCAAAAAAAAAAAAAAAGTAGAACCAAAAATAACAGACAGCAATCTTGTTAGTTTCACTCCTTCTTGTTTCCCCATTTGGCCATCTTGTTGTTCACAGGAGTTTTCATGTACTTGTTTGACTTCATGTATGCTACAATCTTCTCGAGACTCTGCCAGAAAACACAATTCATATTCAGCCATAGACAGGAAACATAACTAATCTGAGACTATCCATTACAGTCTCATGACAATCACATTTTTATGCTAATTAGTATGAGATATGTGTGCGATCTTGTAAAATCTTGTACAATTTGCTCTTCCCCCAATTACAATTAAGTTTAGGTGTACAGTCTTGGGATATGACTTTAAAAAATAATAATAATAAAATAAAAATTGAATACAAGCTAGCCCTTTTTCTAGCAATATGTAAAATCATTAAATTTCACTATGAGAACAGGCTGAACTATAAATTCATTACATGTGTCAAAAGAGAAAATCCAAACCTCAAAGTGATCCAGGAAAGATCGAAGGTTTCTGTAGTCATCCAAACACTCTGGATGTAACATACGGTGTAAATCCAGCAAGTCGTACATGATGAAATCCACAAATGTGATCTACATGATGACAAAGGTGGGACAAGACAATACATAACCTCATTCTATCCCCCCCAAAAAAAGCTTTCAAACATTAAGTCTCATTTACCTTGTCCCCAGCGAACCACTTCCTGTCACCAAGGAAGTCAGAGAACTGCTTTAGAGATCCTGGCAGCTTCTCACAGTAACATGGTTTGTTTTTGTCCTGTAATCAAAAACAGTCTACATCATCTGAACATTTCTTCAACACTAATACATATTAGGGCTGCACAAATTTATCATTGAATTATCATTGAACTGAGTGTTTACATGAACACTAATAATCCAATTTAATACGATTAAGACAATACTCTGATTAGGAGTCTACCATCTAAACTGCCATTTTTTATTAATTTAATTTAATTAAGGTCATTTTTGGACAAAACAGAAATCGGACTAAGACATATGGAGTATGCCGATTTTAGTTGCATTAATAAAGTGCAGTACAGACACGTAAACATCGCAATCAAACTATCATCATTGTGTAGGATTTTTGCAGCATTTGAGACAGGATAGTCTATACACACACAGCTGTTTAACTATTCTCTGCAGCTACCGAGTCAGTAAAGGACCACAGACACCTGCATCATGAAATATGGAGTTTTTTCCCCCATGCTGGCGAGTGGGATCAAATTCCATTAAAACAACACTCTTCCAGCAGTTCATACTCACATCCAGTATCTTGTTTGTCACGGTGGGCATGCATGAAATGTTCCTGAATGAAAGTGAAAGTGCCAAACTAAAGGTAAAGTCGACAAATTAAAAATGAAACTGAATGAGGAAATATGTATAGCATGGTGACGCAAGGATATTAATCGAATGTTATAACCAGGAGCAGATTAAATCAATAAGTGAGGTAAGCGGCCGCTTAGGGGCCCAGAAAATCTGGGGGCCCCCAATAAACATCTAGAAGTATAAATTATACCTAGAAACTATATGTAACATCGTTTTTTACAATATTTTGTATGGCGAGTTCCAAATATGATGTGTGAACGTATTAAGAAGATTGCCTGAAAGATCCCGTTCATGCTTAGAACACGCTGACGTGAGATGTCTACTCCAGCCAATCAGAACATTCAGACACATTCACATCCACGCTGTTTATGAAAATAAAAGCCTTGGAATATTTTTCCAGACACGATTAGCTGCTAGATGATAGTCAGAAAACTTTTCTATGTTCATTCTTAATGCCAACTGTATAAATAATTATCAATAAAATGCTTACGACAAACAGCTGTTTGTTTACCTTCAAGCTCTGCTTCCTTCAGCGAGTGCCAGCACACACACATAATATGTACATCTCGACATGCGAAAATGTACCTCTATAGGTTTTCATCAAAGTTGATTACAATACTCACAATGTCCATCCACAGAGTTTGTAATGTATACAAGTGCACGCGCTTAGAGGTCATTTCTGGTTAATGATGTCAGGATTGACCTGTATTTTGGAATGGATGTGTGAATGCTCTTTTCTGGAAAAATTCTGTAATTCTTTTTTGAATCTTTAGTTTAAGTCGTTCCGAAAATTTTCCAGATATTTACTAGTATCACTGTGTGAAAGGGGCTACTGTCTTATTCAAATTAAGGCAAAAAAATTGATTACTGTCCATGTAAATCTAGTCACTGGAACGTGTAATATTCATATCACAGAGAAGCGCAATAAACTGAATTATTTTATGCGTGAAGCATTTGTGTGCTGCATGCATGGGTTGTTTATCCAAATCTGACCAATCAGATGGGGCCTTTACTATCTTCATTCCCATCTCACCCAGTAGGTTCTGTCAGGTGAACCTACAGCTGAAAAGAATTACTAATGCTTGTTGAATAAAGAGGAAAATGACATCAGCCAATAAAAATCAGAATTTTTCCATGTTGATATTTTTATTAGCTTTGAAAAAAATCACTTAACTGTTTAAATATAATCTTTACACTATATTTTATATAAATTGCTGATAAAATTGCCTTTTTTTTAAAGGTAGTAATATCATAAAAATACTCAACAACCATATCACATATATTCCTAATATCATGTAGCCCTAATGCATAGTCACATGATCAGTCACTCACAAAGTCTCCATAGCAGAGCTGGATGAAACCATTGCGGAAGTCCATCGCCTGATTCTCCAAGATGTCAACTCTGGTCTGTTCTTCTTCAGTTTCCCCACCTAGAAACATTCCCATTACAACAAAATATAAACATTGGACACTATTTTCATTGATATTTGAGGGAAAAAATTAAGACAATTTTTTAATGGAGATTTAAATGACCCCAGTACTTACAGAGGTTGTTTTTGCGGGCAATGTATCTTAGTATGGCATTGCTCTGGACTACTTTTGTATCACCATCCTCTAGGTAGGGCAACTGATCAACAACAAAGATTCTTAGTTCCTCCATTGCTGCTATTTTTCTATAAATGTGGTTAAGAACGTAACTTACATTAGGAAAGGCCAGCCCAAGTTTGTTTTTCTCATTAAACCAGCAGCTTTTGTCATAGTCAGGAGCTGAAAGATAAGAACACAATATATTCAGATTCCGTCACTGTGTTTACAGTGAAAATATCTGCAGAGTTATAATTGCAGTACTTACCTTCACCACAGGAGTAGAACTTTTCCTCATATTTAGTACCAGTGAATTCCAACAGTAGACGGACTGGTTGAGCAATCTGTTAACAGAATTGATAACCAGACCATAAAGATACCCTTTGAGAATATCTATCACTAATTAAATTAGCTAAGATCTGGATCAGGATTAAAAATAAATAAATAAAACTTTGTATACAAACAGATAACATTTTAGTTTTTGCAGTAATCAACTAACTTTGCAGAAATTAATAACTTAAAATTTCTGAGCAAATTCTGGTTTATTGCAAAATTTTACTTTCTACTTGCTGAAAAAAAATCTGAATTTGCTCCGACAATGGTGGTACATTCCGTGGTTCATGCTTCGCTCAAGCCAAAGAAAAGTGAACAAGTACACAAAACATTTTGCAGCAAGTAAATTGCATTTTATATATATATTTTTTTTGTTTGTTTTTTTGCAATAAACCTTAAATGCATTGTTTCTTTAAATATGTATGATCATTTTTAAAATTGATTCAATTGTCATTTGCAATGCTTCTTGTTGGACAGTTCTTTTTTTTCTTCAGGTTGTACAGTTTGCAGTCTTTTACACTTGTCTTATTTTTAGAATTCTACATTTGACTGCTGTGATTTACCAGATGATTAGCATAAGTCACGAAACCTTTGAACTGGGGGGAAAAATCTGTGCTGGCATTGACGTATTTTAATTAGAATGGAATTCTTAACGGAAAATAATAATACTGAAAGCAATAAATAAATAAATAATTGTGAGAAGCTGTTTGCTGCAGAACATTTAGATAACCTAAAGATTTGACTATCGGGTGCAAACCTTGCAAAGCAGTCTATACATTCTAATAGCCCAAGTTTTAAATAAACATTTGCCCATGGCTTTGAAAAAAAAGTCAACAGAGTTAAAGCTAGTGTGAAAAGCTTTTATGAATTCATTCAAAGTATACCGCAGGAGCTTCGTCATAATGTACAGTAGTCTAACCACACCCAAAATTGACACGCGCAACTTGCAGGTAAAATAATAAAGTGGAGGAAAATGGAGAAAAGAGAAAAGTAAAAAAAATCCATACACATTGTTCCTTTTCCCCCTCATGTATACTAAAAATGTTATTCTATAGTTTTCTTTTAGTAGTAAGCAACATTTTTGTTTATATACAGCTACTTCAGTTGCAACGCATCAAAATATATTATTGGGAGTTTTGATAAGCTTTAAGTGGTTAATCTTTTAACTGGTTGACACGTTAAGCAAAATAAATAAATAAATAATCTGAGAATAAAACGCTTAACCAGTTAAGCAAAATGACTGTTTCTTACCCCGCGGATATCCCAGTATGCCAGCTTCATTGCCATGTTGCAGCCAACTTCGTGCAGGAGCAGTGAGCGGAGATGAATGGGCGCGCTCAGGTGAATCAGAGTTCAGTTTTAGATTATAGGCGGGGCTAACTACACTGAGGGGCGTGTTCACACTGCAGATCCATATGGGCAGAGCTGCGCTCCAGATCCTCCTTGCTGCACTAAGCAGTCAGTTAAAAAATTCAACATTTAATTCCACTTTAACTGTGAATTAAATTACCACACGCAGCTAGAATTCATTTGCACAAAAAAAACAACCACTTTCAGAATTTTTATATTTGTAATAATTTGATGTAATAGAATGATTTCTGAAAATCAATAAACTTTTAGGAATAACTAAAAATGGAGTTATCTGTTTTTGCAAATAAACATACTTCATTTATTAATAGGTTTCCCCAAGAAATAAATATGCATGGAACAAATCTGTGCTCTTTATTTAGTCAAAATAAGGTACTGCATTTAATGCTTTGTTAACAATTCAGAAAATGTAAATCAACAATCTAAATCGAAGTCTAACAATAAAATGCTTCTTTTCTTTTCATGGAATCAATTTGAAAAATCACAGTGCAACACTCACCTGAACACAGACAACCTAAACAGAAGTGCTTTTCAATGTCATTATTTCTATAGACGACCACTGAGAATTCAGACTGTTGCATTATGCTTTTCTGATCTACACTAATGTCAACTATCACTGGGATGTCCATTTAACAAACTGCTTGTCTATTGGAATGCTTTAAAACAGTGGTCTAGGGGTCCGTTCATACCTCGCTTAAACTGAGAAGATTTGGCAGATTCTGGCCCTTTTAATCTTGATAACTGATTTCGGGATAATTTGGTTATTTAAACAAGTTTGTCGATAAGGTTACAATATTAGGATGAATTAATCTGAGATTGCTGCAAGTGTTCATGTTTGTTGTGAAGAACTGATTCATTAATCCTCAAAAACATGACCAGCAATGAAGTTATTGGCTGGCAGCACAGCAGCCATGTGTCAAGATTTTAGAAATTAAGTTTTACATATGGAGCCAAAAAAATAGTTTCTTAATACAGTGGATAAGACATAATTATTTTAAATTATTTGGATCAGGTCTATCAGAACTGCTGCTATGCCAACAACTCCTGGATGAGTTTTGAATAAAGAAACTATCCCATATTGTGTAAAATCATCAACAATCAAATCCAGCCAACTGAATGATCCATGTATGAAGAACGGACCCCTGATCTTGTTGGTTTCACTCTTTCTTGTTTCCCCATTTGGCCATCTTGCTGTTCACAGGTGTTTTCATGAACCTGTTTGACTTCATGTATTCTGCAATCTTCTCAAGATTCTGACAGAAAACACAATTCACATTTAGTCACAACCGGTTTTATCCGCAAACATTAGAACTTATTTAAGATTATGAAGTAAGTCTGTGTGCAAAAAACTGAGTTCTAACCTCAAAGTGATCCAGGAAACATCTAAGATTTTTGAAGTCATCCAGGCATGCTGGCTCGAACATGCGATGCTGATCCAACAACTCATACATGATGAAATCCACAAATGTGATCTGGAGGAAGTGACAGTAGGGTGAACGTACCAAAAAATATTCACAGAATACAGTCTGTTATTTACAACATCTATGAATTGACAAAATTATCATATTCAAAAGATTAAGTCTCATTTACCTTGTCCCCAGCAAACCACTTCCTGTCACCAAGGAAGTCAGAGAACTGCTTTAGAGTTCCTGGCAGTTTCTCACAGTAACTGGATTTGTTTTTGTCCTGCAGGAAAATTAATTGAAAATATTACTAATAGGTCATCTTCTGAAATGAAAATCAAACACACTGTAGTACATATTAAATAGTCCATTACAAAGTCAAAGTAGCAGAGCTGGACAAATCCATTGCGGAAGTCCATCGCCTGATTTTCCAAAATGTCAACTCTTATCTGTTCTTCTTCAGTTTCCCCACCTAGAAACACATGACAGTGAAAAAAAAATTACATTACGTTATATTAATTTAAAAGATACTGGAAACAGTACAAAAAAATTATGAAGGAACAAATAAATGCAGCTCTCACAGAGGTTGTGTTTGCGAGCGATGTATCTCATTATGGCATTGCTCTGCACTATCTTTCTGTCTCCATCCTCTAGGTAGGGCAACTAATCAACACCGATGATGGTTAGTTAATTCATGTCATACTTTGCAAGAAGAAGATAGAAAAGTATAGAACTTACATTTGGAAAGTCCATCTTGAGTTTACTTTTATCATTTAACCAACAGCTTCTGTCATAGTTGGGAGCTGCAAGACAATAATAAGAACGTCACTCCATGTTTGCTTAAGAAAAAATACCTGTTATGTAGTTATATTGATTTACCTTCACCACATGAATACAACTTTTCCTCATATTTGGTACCGGTGTATTCCAACAGCAGACGGATAGGTTGAGCAAGCTGGATGAATTAAAATTGATTTGTATAGTTTGTTATAGATCATTGCTGCTGCTGTAAAATGCCTTTCAATCTATTTGACCCTTACAAACCATGGGTTGTAAATACTTTGCACATTTATGAAGTGAATAACTTTGAACAAACAACTTGTTGAATAATTATGGAAATGCTGCCACATAGATCTGCTCTAGTTTTCTGAAACAACGTAGTAAAATTGTTTATCACTGCAGTTAACTTGTCTTCTGCTCGACAACTTGCTCTTAAACTTAAGCAAAACAACGTAGAAATAGTATGAATATCTAACGTTAGACTCGTGATTATGCATGTGTCGCCACTCCCGAATAGACAGAAAAAAACGCGTAAATTATCTCTGTATATGCCTTAGGATGGTAATGTTATATAGCTAGTCTAGTTTTTACAGTTCTGCGACACAGCAGGCAATCCATTATCTGCACCAGCTTTAAACTTTCTCCACTGGTTGATCATCATTCATTCATTTCTGAGAGGAATGTAAACAAGCTACGTATTTTTCACACATGAACCGCGCAGAATACATTTGCTGGCGACTGCATGAGAAGTTCTACAATGCTTGATGTAAATAGGAATATCTTACCCCTCGTATATCCCAGTATACCAATTTCATTGCCATTTTGTAAAATGGTGATGTACAGTAACCGCAGCCGATTCCAGTTTCCCTTTAGCGTTACACAACACAAACTATTTGAAAGTACGGAAAGCAAAATGGTTCAAAAAAATTAACAAACATCTTTTCACCGAGACTTGAAGATGGATTATGTTTGGATTCGATTATACTAAAGTATCAATTTAAAACAAACGTGCATACTTTAATGAGTGAAATATATATAACATGTTTCAAACCCAAAACTTTCAGCAGGTGTATTACAATTTACAAAAAATAAAGAAAAACTTTTGTGTAATAATGGAGATGAATACGCGACCTCAGGAGACCAAGGGTGCAGTTTCACTCAGGGGCGTGTCCGGACTGCACACTAAACCAACAAGTGTACTATGCTATTTAACATAACAGTTTCAAGCTAAGAGTACCAATCCTACTGAATAAGAATGCTCCAAAATTAAACAAAAAATTTGTATAAATGTCTATTTTTTAAGTAAACTTAATAATCAAAGTGCTATAAGTAATATGTAATATAGTAAATGTAATTCCACTTAAACACTAATAAGAGCATTCAACTGCATATGTACAGTTTATTAGCAAAAAGTCTTTTTTTGCAGTAATTTCTTCAATACTCAAATGTAAAAGTACGATTTCTGAAAACTTCAGTTGTAGTGTTCTTCACCTATGCATAGCTAGAGTTTTGAAGGCGACGATAAACTTCCGGTGAAAGCTTAATGTGAGTATTTTCAATTTCACAAGGTTGTTTTAACAGCATCAGTGTTTCACATTCAGGTAAATAGACTTAAGCATTCATGTAGATGTTTAAGAGTAAAATAATATAAAAGACCATTGTAACTGCCAGCGAGCGCAGAAATTCCATCGATAATACTAAAGTAACTGTCATATTTTAAAGACATGGCGGGGGGAAATGGAATGCAGTGCTTCTTGTCTGGTCTGAGACCCACTTCATATCGTATATCTATCAGGCAGTGACTATCGCTAATATTTAAAGAAATCAGATTTTAATATGCAATTTTGTAATGTAAAGACAGTTCACCAGAAGCCCCTGTGCTGCCTGGCTGAAAATTAAAAGTTCACTGTATTCTTCAATACACAACAAAAACATGATATCTGACAATGACAAAATTGAGTAATCTGTTCCTGCAAATGAACTCTTCATATATTAATAGGTTTCCCCAAGAAAAAAAAATACTGAATGAAACAAATCTGTGCTCTTTATTGGGTCAAAATACGATGCCGCATTTAATGCTTTGCTTACAATTCAGACAATGCAGAACCACAAACTAAACAGTGAAACCTAACACACTGAAATGCTTTTCTTTTCATGGAATCAATGTGAAAAATCAAAATGCAACACTCACCTGAACACATTCAACCTAAACAGAAGTGCTTTTCAATTACATTATTTCTATAGACGACCACTAAGAATTCAGACTGTTGTGTTGTGCTGTGCTTTTTTAATCTACACTAATGACAACTATCACTGAGATGTACATTTAACTAACTGCTGGTCTAATGAAATGTTTTAAAAGAGTTGTTGGCAATGGTTGTTAGTTTCACTCCTTCTTGTTTCCCCATTTGGCCATCTTGTTGTTCACAGGTGTTTTCATGAACCTGTTTGACTTCATGTATTCTGCAATCTTCTCAAGACTCTAACAGAAACAATTCATATTCAGTCACAACCGGGTTTATCTACAAACATTACAACTTATTTGAGATCATCATGTTGTACCGTGTGAATTCTAACCTCAAAATGATCCAGGAAACATCTAAGGTTTTTAAAGTCATCCAGGCATGCTGGCTCAAACATGCGATGCTGATCCAACAACTCATACATGATGAAATCCACAAATGTGATCTGGAGGAAGTGACAGTAGGGTGAACGTACCAAAAAATATTCACAGAATACAGTCTGTTATTTACAACATCTATAAATTGACAAAATTATCGTATTCAAAACATTAAGGCTCATTTACCTTGTCCCCAGCAAACCACTTTCTGTCACCAAGGAAGTCAGAGAACTGCTTTAGAGTTCCTGAAAGTTTCTCACAATAACTGGATTTGTTTTTGTCCTGCAGGTAAATTAATTGAACTTATTATTAATGACTTGTATCACATTATGAAAAAATCCACCAACATTGTAGTACACATTACAAAGTCTAAGTAGCAGAGCTGGACAAATCCATTGCGGAAGTCCATCGCCTGATTTTCCAAAATGTCAACTCTCATTTGTTCTTCTTCAGTTTCCCCACCTAGAAACACAAGACAGTGAAAGTTTTTACATTATTTTAAGCGACGCTTAAAAGAGGTAAAACATTTTATGAAGAAATAGATGAATGCAGTTCTTACAGAGGTTGTGTTTGCGAGCGATGTATCTCATTATGGCATTGCTCTGGACGATCTTTCGGTCTCCGTCCTCTAGGTAGGGTAACTGGTCAACACAGATGATTGTTAATTAATTCATACCATACTTTGCAAAACAACATAGGGAAAGTTTAGAACTTACATTTGGAAAGTCCATCCCAAGCTTGCTTTTCTCATTAAACCAACAGCTTTTGTCATAGTTGGGAGCTGCAAGACATTTGAATAGCACTCTGTGATTAAATGAAAAAAAAAGTTTTATTAAACTCTTTATATTGATTTACCTTCGCCGCATGTATAGAACTTTTCCTCGTATTTGGTACCGGTGTATTCCAACAGCAGACGGATGGGTTGAGCAAGCTGTTAATAGAAAAAAAAATATTGTGCTGTATAGTTCATTTCTGCAACTGTAAAATGCCTTTCAGTCTTGAAATTATACTATCGGACTCTTTCAACCATGGGTTGTACATATTTTGCACATCTATGAAGTGAATAATTTTAAACAAACAACTTGTTGAATAACTCGTCTATTTATGGAAATGCTGCCACACATATCTGCTTTAATCTTCTGAGACATACACAGTAAAATAATATTTTTATCATTGCGGTTAATTTGTATTTTGTTCTCCCTGAATATTAAGGCAAAACAACACAGGTAAAGTTGGTTTTATATTCGCACATTCGTTTATTTAAAAGTCCCTATATTGTTTACCATGTTACCTTGAATATTCTATTGGAATTAACATGCATGACTTCAAAACAACAGTAACACTGTTCTAATTCACTGTGAAAAAATTTGTACTTTGATAGTAATTTGCTGCTCATATGATTTTCCTTATTTAGAATTTGCAAAGAATACTTCTTTGCAAAACAACGTAGAAAGTGTGATGAAGACTTGAGGCATTTTATGATGATTAACGTTAACGTTTGTTGCCAAACAACTCAACATTTGAGAAGAGTGCTGTAAAAGCACTTCATAAACACGTGCAAAACCCTTTTTGCCCAAAGCATTTAGTGTAAGGTTATAGCTCGAATTACAACAACACGTTACTGTTTTGTCGTAATTTTGAATATTAGTGTCGCCACACCCGAAGTGCCTTGAGATAACGTTAAACATAACTGACATAAAAAGTACGTTAGCACAGTAAACGACAAAACGCGTTTAATAATCCCTAATATGTGTTTAAGAGGTCATACAGTTCAGCGTCACACAAGGCATTTGGACGAGTTTCAAACTTTCTCCACGGACTGTCTGACGAGTTAATTTCTGAAGCAACGACTTATTGTCCATCAAAGACGTGAAGTTAAACAAGCTAACATTAACAATATGAAGTGAACTTTACTGTTTTCAGAAATTAGAAACAGCACAGAATACAATTCTCTTATATGATGGCGACTCCATGAGAAGTTGTTTTTAACAGTAATCAAATAATAATATTTTAGTACAGGTAGCAAATTTACTACTGGTTCTTACCCCGCGTATATCCCAATAAGCCAATTTCATTGCCATTTTGCAACAAGAGGGTGCACCGCTACTCGGCTCTTCAAAATGAGGTGCAGGAGCGACGGAATGGAGGAGGGGGCGTGTGCGCGCACGTGGGCTCTGTGCGTTTAGACCCAATTTAAAGGGAAAGTACCCTTTTTCTTTTCTTTTAGTGCGTGCTGAACACTATGCAATATTTCATTTTCATTTTGTGCAGTAAAATATGCATTGTGATAACATACATATGTTTCAGTATAAATTTTATTCTTTCACAGAGAAATGTGTTTGATTATTTAATAAAGAAAACAACAACCACTGGAGTTTAAAAGATAATCCTCACCTCCACTCAGCTTTTGAAATGGTATCATCCAGACATCGGCTTTAAGAGCCCAAATAAAAGCTTAAAAACCGATTTATCTCAATTGCAATCTTTATTTTTTTATTCAGATCACTGCTTAATGGTAATTTCGACAGTTAATTGGTGTTATGTATATATTTTCATTTTTAATTATGATAATCTGTAATTTATAATGGAGTTAGTCAGAACTATTAAAACTTGTTTAATTCATGACATATTAAATGTTTTTATTGAGTTTTAACTCTTTGTATGCATTTATGTAAGCAGAACTGAGGTGAAACAAAAAAAAAAAGCTTATTAGAATCAGTTTAAAACACATTCACTTCATAATGTGACAAAAATAGGTGTTTGCTTTAATTCCACGTTTACTAAAACACAGCAGTAACCTATATTTCAACAAGTCTGCAAAAATGTACTGTGATGTAGCAACCTTCATGTTCTTGTAAAACAAATGCTTTAAAGGATTAGTACACCCCTGCAGTTAATACATTCAGGGTATCCAAGATGACTTTAGTGCTGGTTTACCACAGAGAATGGAGAAGCTTGTGTTGCATCATTCAAGTAAAATAAAGTCAGCTTATGTGTGAGTTCCAGACTGTCCTGGACGCATTTACAGAGGCTCTGGATAAAAAGTAATGCTTCCATGTTTTGTTTTGTTTTTTAAGTTCCGTGTACAGAGTGACTGGTTTGCTTCATTAGACCTCATAATGTATCATCAGGATATGTATTATTTTTGTTTTTCCTGTATATATATATTTATATTTATGCTGAAAGTGCCTGTTGGCTTGCCTTTTATGAACAGGTTACATTAGTTTTTGGGTGAACTATCGCTTTAAGACTCAAAGCTGAGGTAGATTTTTTCTAACTTGTAACACTAGATGAACAAAGGCTGCAGGAAAAAGGCTGGTCAAATGAACAGAACAGAGAACACAAAGAAAACTGTGTATGTGATTCTTAGGCCAGGACGCCAGGTCAAATTTATAAACAAAAAGGAAACTTTATGGGTGTTCCAGGCCCCAAAGTGTGCCACTCTGTGATAGATGTATGATTTAGACTCATATTAAGAACTTATTCTGTCTATTCAGTAACATAACAATGAGTATTTAAAGTTACTTTAGCTTCAAAGAAATATTTTCTTTAACCATCATGCAACTTGATGTTGAATATGTTACAATCAGAAACACACTGGTTTGTAGCACATTGTTTTACCACATTCTCATGCTTTGTAAAATAAGGTAAGAAAAAGTATATCAAACTCCACAGACAGGCAGAATTATGATATTTTTATTTTGAGATACAGAATACAGCAGAAAAAATAAACTTGACTTTGATATTATGTGGAATTTACAATAAATAGCACTAATAATTACTCAATTACAGACACATAAAAATGGATACAGCCACTATAAAATAAATAATCTCACAATAATAAAAACATTAAAGCAGAAACTGTTAAAATCAAGAATATAACGGAAATAAATGTCCATTGAAAAATGACATGATGATGACGGCTCATAACGGAGATGTGCGTGTGTATTTCAGTTTACACCAGAATAGCCAACAAACCAATGTTTATGGCTGTTAGCGATCAGAACAAGTGTACAAACGACACCAAATGTTCATTATGTATGACAGTGTAAACCATTTTGCTGAATTTCATGCTGCAGGTTATGGACAGTGTAAAGGTCCTCAGTTACAGAGGGGGGATTTTTGAGGTTTCCTGGAGCTCTGAACATACGTTTTCAGTTAATTTTCTGTGAAATCTGGGTGTGCTTTTGACGACAATGCCATTTACTTTGTGCAAATTCTGTCAGTTTCCCAGCAAATAGGGCTTTAAAAGGCTAGTTCATCCAAAAAGGAAAGAAAATTTTCATTTAAACTACTCTCTCTCAGGCAATCGAAAGTGGAGGTGACTTTTTTCTTTAGTAGAACACTAACTGAATTTTATTTTAGCTGAGACTGCTTGGTGATTCATAAACTAGTCAACAAATGCAACTGCTGCAAATGTGTTCAGGGTCATTTCGCCATTGACTTTGGACAAAAGGTAATAATGTTGACTTTCTTGCACATCTTATTATTTCTCTTCATAACAGTGTATTATCAGGAGACATGGGTAATATGCTATGGTCTAGACAAACCAAAAGTGAGTTTTCCTACTTTATACTCAGGAATAGTGGCTGCATCCAAAAATCGCATATTTCCATACTATATAGTACGCTAAAAACAGTATGTGGGCCGAGTAGTACGTCAAAATTCAAAAATTTTGAAAAACAGATTCTTAAGTGCAGATCTGATGGCTGCTACGCTATCAGGTAATGTATCACGAGAAAATTTATGAATGGGAGTGAAGCAACACAACTTACGCAGGCAGGTCATGTCGGTGGCAGATGTAGTACATTCGAGTTCCATTCATACTACCCATATTCATACTGTATAGAACACTCTTTTTCTAACAGTCGAGTAATACATTTAAATTCAAATGCAGAACCTACTGAGTAGTAGGTGGTTTCGGATGCAGTCAATGTCTAGAATGCCGCTAAAAGTCAGACATCTAAAATGGAAACTCTAGAACATAGAACCCTGAATTCAATTGAATTGACATCACTTTACAGATGTCGACTAGTCCTGCTTTAGCAAGATTAGCGTGACGCTAACTTATATGAAACATTGCTAGTCTTAAAATGAAAGATTAATCCATTAAATAAAAGTTAGTTTGGTCTTTAATCAGTGACACGGTGGCTCAGTGCTCAGTACTGTCGCCTTACAGCAAGAAGGTCGCTGGTTCAAATCCCAGCTGGGTCAGTTGGCATTTTTGTGTGGAGTTTGTTTATTGCCCATGTGTTCGTGTTGGTTTCCTCTAGGTGCTCTGGAGTGTGAATAAGTGTGCATGGGTGTTTCCCAGTACTGGGTTGTGGCTGGAAAGGGCATCTGTTGCGTAAAACATATGCTGGATAAGCCGCTGGTTCATTCCTCTGTGGCGACCCCTGATGGATAAAGGGATGATGTCATTTTAATGGATTGGGTGAAATATGCTTTCACGTCCCTCTAACCGTTAGCTTGCTGCAAGTGAAAGATGAGAGGAGAAGCTCAAAAATTAAAACCCCGCCCTCTACTCAGTTACATTTGGGTTAGAAATATGTCATCATACTGAAATAAAATTCAGCAGCAACTTTCATTAAATTGCTGGTAACTGTTAAACTACTTTATGTGAATCACCAACGACCACAGTTTCAGCTAAAAACTTTCAAGAAAAAGTCACCTACATCTTCCGTAACCTGAGAGTGAGTAAATTAGCACATTCTCATTTATGACTGAACCATCCCTTTAAAACTGCACAATGCTTCCAAATGAATTACAAAACATTACTATCAATTGGGTTTAGGTGAATACCTGTGGACAGAAAGTCAGTCCCACATTTCCCTGATTAACCTTTTACTCACACTCTGCACTGGTTGAATAATTGAAAGTGTGAAACACTGTTAGCGTATTGAAGCCATGCACAGGGATCCCTCCTCTTTGACCGTCTCCAGCTCCTCTGACCGCACTGCCTGTGTGATCAGATTCAGTTCTTCACACAGAGTCTCGAAGCGATACGCCACACGGATATCAGGAACGTTGGTACGTCTGATGTCATTGCCCTCTTGTCCCTCTTTTATATAATGCGGCCCCAACCAGTAGCTTTTCACCTTCACAGAAGACATTTGAATAGGTCAGATAAATGCGCGTCTCTGGTAGATTGTATTTAAATCATCTGTGTCAACAGTGGTGGCTAAATACAGTGCTAAAATTGAATGGCAGCCAATAATTCAGAAATATATATAGATTTATATTAAAAACAGTTCTGTCTTGTTCTTGGCTGATAATCAAGTGATATTCTTTAAAGGCCAGTATTCGTACAGCCTTATCACCCTTGTGTATTACTTTGCCCACATACAGCGACAAGCAAAGGACACTCTACAGTTTAATAAATTTTGCTGCAGTTATACAACATAATGTACTTTTAAGGCTTTTTTAGTTGAGAATATAATAGTTTAGATCGCAACTATGCAGTTTATTTATAAGGATAGTGCCTATTTTAAAATATCATTTCGGAGATTCGGTGCATCGGTCGACAGTGGTGATCGACGTTCTGCCACAAAATGGCGACAGAAACCACATAATAAGTAGAGGGAGAAAAACTTTTGACTTCTGAGTTTTCTTAATGTAAGTTTCAAACTACAGCTGAACTGATCCATATGAATCAGGTAAGTGACATTTTAAGTCGATCTCTCTCTTTTGTATGTTGTAGTGCTGTATTTGTAGTTCTATATTCATACCACAGAAACTGGTCGTGTTTGCTTTGGCTTTTTTGGGGTAATTATTGTGATATTCTGATTGCAACAGAGAAATACTGGGAAATCTCTGTAGACTGATGGCCTTTTATGATGTTCAGCCATATGATCTTAAAATGTGAGCAAAATTCAACTGTTTTGTCATCACTTTAGATATTACGCAAAAGAATCATTCAAATACTAGTTCTAAAGTAAAGTTTGTGAAGTAGCAACGGTTTCTGCTGTTCTGACGTCAGCTGCAGATGTGAATGAATGGAAAAAAGAATGCTTCCTCGTACAAAAGTTTTTTTTGAAACTCTGTGTCTGATTTTCTTTTTTTATATACACAATTATGTCGTCGAACTGTTATATAAACTCAATTTTACACTCGTAGCAGTGCAATATGGCTGTATATCGATATAAACAGCCATATCGCACTGCTACTCATATGTTATTGCTCGTATATATATATATATATATATATATGTATATATATATGTATATTATTATATATGTATATTATGTATTTTATTTTTTTATTATTTTATTTTTTATTTATATGAGCAATATACTATATGTATATATATATATATATAAAGTATATATAAGTTTTCTTTTTTGAATGTACAGATTGTAACATTATTTACTGTATTAGGCATTGATGAACACTTTGTGTGTGAATTAAAAAGTCTGCACTAATGGTAATTGATAAAAATTTAATAATTTTTGTTGGTAATACAAATTAACAGATTTTGTTATTTAATGAAAAACATACAATATTACCACTTAAAAGTCTATAAGATAAAAAAAACATTTTTGAATAAATTTTATAAAAAAAACAGTAAAAACTAAAATATTTTTGCTTTTTTAAAAAGAACTGTTTTGTATTTAATATATTTTAAAATATAATTTATTCCTATGATGGCAAAGATGAATTTCCAGCATAAATACTACAATCTGTATCTTTCAGAGACCAATCTAATATGCTAATACGCTAATACGGTGCCCAAGAAACATTTGCTTTTATTATAAAAGTTAAAAATTTGTGCTGCTTAATCTTTTTTCTTTTATTTTTTAACCAAAATTGTGATCAGATTTAATCTAGATTCTTTGATGAATAAAAAGTAATTCAATTAAGTTAAATTATTCAAGTTATCCAAAGATCTGAATTGTAAAATTACAAATGACTGTATCCTTGTTAAATAATAAAAAAGCTACATTACTATAACATTTTAGGCTTTTTGTTAGATTATGCTTTAAAATACATTAACTGATGCATTAACTTACTGTCAAATGTCACAAAAAAGAACCAAAAGTGCTTGAATAGAAGTGTAAGTGTAGCTGTGAGCACCTGGTTTGAAAATCCGCTCATGAGCACACTGTTTCGGGCCAGTTCACACATGTCACATGAGCTCAGCTTCCACACCTGAGCGGCGATGCTGTACTCCTCCATCAGTGGCTCCTAAACAAACCACACATATATTCGGTCAAACACATTTATCCACACAATAAGTAAAAACACTTCATATCAGATGATGTGGTTTGACTTCTAACCTTTGTGAAGTGGAACTGCAGAGGGTCGTCAGTGGACAAAGACACCATGAGGCCTCTGGACAGATATTCAGGCAGTGGATTTCGATGGTAGCTGAGGAAGAGGCTGTTGTTGCTGAGCGGCGACATAGCAATGCCAATCTGAGCCAGATAATACAGATACTGCAGTACAGGAGCCTGTGGGAAATACAGCAACATATCACTCAACAGGATTTCTGCAGGTTTCTTCAAGTCAATTTAAGACTTTTTAAGATCATTATGAATGAAATTTTAGACTTATACAGGGCTAAACATTAAGGATATTTTCTAATGGCCCAGTTACATCCGTAAAAAGTTTTAGTATTTTTTTTGTAAAGGGATCTGTTTCTTTAGTTTTCTTTTCCCGATTGGGGAATTTAATTAGGAGAATTTCCTTTAAATGTCTTAATAGCTGTTTTGAATTGCATTTCTTTGCAATAAAAGACTTAAATATAAAAAAAAGTTGTGTTTTGTGTCAGCCTGATCAGGTAGTTGACCCTTGACGTAAATTAAGACCTGTTTAAAATTATTTAAAACCTACAACACAATATTTCAGTGAATGTAAGACTTTTTAAGGCTTAAAATGTAAGACATTTAAGTACTTTTTAAGACTCTGCGGACACCCTGATCTAAAACATTAGGTGGACTCATAAACTCTTGAGTGTTTGCAAAGAAATTGTTCCTGTGAAGTGCTTTGAAATGTGTATTTTGTTACATGGTGTCAACTGAAACATGAAGACAAGTGGGAAATATGGTAGCTCCTCCCCTTAAGAAAAAAACAACCAATAGAGTTTCGTTTTTTTCATAGTTCTGTCAGTTGGAGTGGTTGAGCTTAAGGGCATCAAATAAAAAGCAAATGAGAAGTGTCTTGAAGGGGCGGGGCATGTCAGATACTAAAGAGCACTTGATTGGTCAAAGAATTTGATGAGAAACTGACGTCAAAAAAAACATCGATCCATTTAGGTGGAAGTGACAAACTGCAAGTTTTGAATGTTTATATCTTCTAAATGAAAATGCTGTCACTGTTTTGCTGGACGCTAGCTTATAGATATTCTTAAGACTAACATACTGATAATAACAACGAAAAAACATTATTTTGATTTCACAACGACTATAAAAAAAAAGTAAATTAGCTCTGTCTTTTAGCTCAATTCAATGGCTGAATTATTCGGAGACCATTTACAAAAGCGAGTGCGTCACTGCAGCACAATGAAGCCTGTTTCATTTTAAATGCGGCCTGCAAATCTGCCCTCCATATGTGTCCTTATTTTCCCGGCCATGAAGGATACCACAGATGGATTCTTCACAGTACAGTGCGTCGATGGGGACTGGATATTTTGGAGAGAACATAGATGAACCGGAGAGAACATATTCAGACAGATGTAGAACATATTTTTACACTGTTTTGGGTCCAGACGGTCAAATATTGCTTTTCAAGACTATATTCAAATTCACTTACTTTTTCATTGATTTCCTCATATTTAGGTGCAGTTTATAAAAGACAAAAAGGATGCAAGTAGCACCATTATGACACTTCCATTTGCTATGGGTAACAGCAAGATAATGACATTAAAGGGCACCTATGGTACAAAATCGACTTTTGAAAGCTGTGTGTATAGGTATAGTGTGTCCACAGTCATATTGGAGTGATATAAACACAGGTCTCTTTTTTTTAAATTTCCTGATGTTAAAATAGGATCCAAATCCCAGTAATTTTGAGGCCCACTGCAATGTGACATAGGAGGGCGGTTTTCCCTGCCCACCGAATTGATTGACAGCTGTGAATTTACATGTAATGTAGACAGTACACATGCCCACAACACAGGAGTTGCAAAGAAACGGGGTTTAAATGATCTGTGCAACTCTGTGATCAGCCGCACCTCAAAAATAAAGGCTCGTACACACCAGGATGCTTTTCATTTCTGTTTATCATCAGCGTTTTTTGAGATGCTTTTCTGGATTCAAACCCAAGCGGTTTTCACTGGCGTCGAGCAGAAGAGTATGCAAAATCACTCCTTGATGTTAGATGGCGCTACACAACTTTAGGCTTCTGACACCCGCTTGTAGAAGAAGACACGCTTGTTGTTAAAGTTACTGGTGATTCGAATAAGCATGGATGGTTCGAGCATGAGACGTTTTTTAAAAAATTATGCTTTTTCGCCTGCCTCTTTGTGCGTTGTTGTGCACATTGGCGCCCTTTATTTAGTCACGAGGCATTAAATGTCGACAGAAAACTAAGAATAAAAGCATCCCGGTGTACACGGCCTTAAGTTTTACAAGTTTAAAAGTTAGACATGCAAAAACCATGTGAGGGTGTGTGTGTACTGTGAGCATTTGTGTGACGAGTCATCAATACAGAAAACTATACATCATTTGCTTGAATAAACTCCACCACAATTATATCAAATACAATTACTTGCTTTATTTGACTCATAAGCTCATAAAATGAATCCTGAATCTGGTTCCTTTGTGTCTGTCTCTGTTACTGTGGTGTTTATCCGACTTGACGCCTGCAAGCATGTGGAAACGGTGGGCAGGAAGAACCAGCTCATTTGCATTAAAGGCACAGACTACAAAAACGGCTACAGTGTCATTTCAATCTAAATTGGGCATGTTCAAGATCAAGGGGGGTCAAAGTCAATTCCTGGAGGGCCGGAGCCCAGCAGAGTTTAGTTCTAACCCTGCTTCAACACACCTATTAGTACGCCAAAAGCACTTAATTAGTTTGATCAGGTGTGTTTAATTAGGGTTGGAACTAAACTGTGCAGAGCTGCAGCACTCCAAGAAACTGGCTTTGACACAGGTGTACTAGATCAGAGGTTTTCAAACTGGGGGCCGCGGCCCCCTGGGGGGCCGCCAGATGGCGCTAGGGGGGCCGCAAAAAATTTTAGATAAGGGGTAATCAATGGGCCCACATGGATGAATTTTGTGTCCTGCATCATTCTGAAGTTTAATATATTTTTATTATAATTTGACCTCAAAAGTACTGCAAAAAATAAGCTTTATGCTTGTGTCATTTAAATGCAGTTGACACTTTCGTGAAACAGGAAAAGAAGCGCAGCGGCTCGCCTCTTTGCACGGGGACTTTTATTGAATAAGCGCTTCTGGCCGGCCGCTTCCTGTGATTTTTGGCACTTGTCTGCCGCACCTGACGCCGTTTACCTTTCACTTACGCTTACCTCTTTTACGCTAAACAACTAAATGAATGCTCAGGTCTATTTACTGACAATATTTCAGTTAAAATACATGATCAATAAGAACATTATCGGAGGCTGAAAGCACTTCCCTGTTTATGGCTTGCGTTCCTAAGTAATCGATCAGCTGGGTGCTGCGGAGTGCGCGCCTCTCTGCGCAGGCTTTACTAAACAAATATCATTTTAAAGACACGGCACAACATTGCACCTCGTCCACAGTGAGACAGGCTTTACACTTTGCATTGTACAAATATAAGACGGTCCTCTTTGCAGCATGGCAAACAAACATATTAAAATTGTAAAGCAAAAAGTGCTGCAATAACAATGAATGGAGCTGTCATCACATCAGCGAGTTCTCAGAGTTTCACTCCTGTTACTCTAATGACAGCTGGATGAGCTCTGCAGTGGACCTCTTACTCACATTGGTTCATAACTGGATGATTAAAAAAACTAAATTGTATACACCCTGAATAAAACCACTATAGCCTATAAAAATTATAATGTATTTGTTTGTGTTATGTTATAGGGCTAATTAATTATTAAATATTAAAATGTATTAGTGCTCTGTATTTAATGGAGCTCAACATATCTGATCAAATTTTAATACTCTGAATATAAATGCATTTTTTCAAGATGTTCCACTTTTTCCCATATTTATTTGTGTAACTAATTTAAATGTAATGTTCAGTATTATTATTAATAGAACAAACTGGTATGAACATTTTAAAGTCAGCAAAGCTTCTAAAATTATGCAAAGTAAAATTTGTGGCTCTTTGAACTTGAATACCCAATTCTAGATCGCATTTAGGAAATTATTTTTTATCAGTGTAAGTCAGGATTGTCGACCTGAGTAAATTATGATGTGCACAAAAAAAATAAATAAATAAATAAACAAAACACACTGAACCACTACAGCCTCAGTGAACAGTGAACTGTTAACAGGCTGATGAATGACAAAACTATTTAAAACTTCAAAGCTTTAAATCTTTAGATACATTTAGACTCTCAGCTGTAAGGGTAAATACAGAAGGGTCTTGCTATGCATAGGCAGTTAAAAAGCATAAAAATGGCATAAAAAACTGTGTAAACGTGATGACTCGTACACAAAATATGGCTTGATGGAATCCAGTGAGAGCAGACCACAATAAACACTGCGCATGAAAATTTGATCAATAGATTGAAGCACTGAAACCATGTCAACTCAACTAACATCTTACAAAAATTAATCCAGATTGTGAATAATATAGATTTATTGAATAATATATAATAATATAAATGTATTGAATAATACAATTTAAAAAAAATTAAGTACAGTTGTTAATTTGAGGGGTTGGCGTCATTTTTTTGGAGGGGGGGTCCCCGAAAGAATTCGCCCTACACAAAGGGGCCCTCAGCTGAAAAAGTTTGAAAACCCCTGTACTACATAGTATAATAAACTGTTTGGTATTTTGAGCAGAAACTTTACAGACACATTCTGGAGACACCGAGGACATATCTTACATCTTGTAAAAGGTGTAAAATAGCAGCCCTTTAATGACATTTCAAGTTAATTTCAAAGACTTCATGTCATTCACTCTGGAAAAAAAACTAAACAAATATCACATAATAAAGACTGCAATCTTTAAAATTAAATCAACTGTACTAGAAATGGATTTCTATCCATGACCGGCCTAAACCAGTACAGAAACACAATCTAAGCAGTCTCTTTTTTAATTTTCAAAAAATGTTACACATAACAAGATCTTCTAAACTGGGACACAGATTGATCTGATATTGCTTTCAAGGACTGACTGAAAAATCTAAGTTGAAGGTGTTTGATGGAGAAAATGAAGTGTGTGACACTGCTCAAAAGTGCGATGTGGCCTTGGTCTAACACAAAAAAATGACATGTAAAAAAATAAATAAATACACATAGCATGCTTTAAATCTGTGCAGAACAGATTTCTGAGGTGACCGTGAGCCAGTAAAAGTATCAAGAGTGTCTTTACTTTTCTGAGAAGTAGGCCATGGGAAATGTTCTCTGACAGCATGAATCCAGACACAAGGTGGTGAATCGGCCCTGCTTCTCCACAGTGAGGACGTAACACGAACGAATTCATGTTTCTTTGCCTGTTGAGAGACATAAATAATGCAGTTTACTCATCCTCAAGTGATCTAAACTTTTATGACTTTGTTTCTTCTGTTCAGCCATTGAATTTCATAAGTGGAAAAAATGGCCAGTTTCCAGCATTTTTCAAAGTATGTTTTTTTTGTTTTGTTTTCAACCAAAGAAGGTAAACTCAAACATGTTTGTAACCACTTGAGGGAGAGATGTAATAAATAATGAAGGAATTTTCAATCTTGCGTGAACTATCCCTTTAACCCATTTTTTTAAATTTAAGTTTAGCTGTTTATGTCCCAAAATCTTAGTCTCAAATCAATGTGAAATATGCAAAGCGTGGATTAAATACCTGCGCAGGTGGTTGAGTACAGTCATATTTGCATACATGTAGTACAGATAATAAGAGTATGGAGGATTGTCTTCATCCGTCCAGTTGACAGGTTTTGGACTGTCCAGGTTAAAGATGTGATGCTCAGGTTTGGACTCATCATCCACACTGTCAAACCCAACAACCTAAAGAGCAACATAATATAATGACACTTTGAGCATACTTACTCTGGGTGTGTGACTGGTTATGATTTTATTTTGGTTAGTGAAGTGGGATCTCGTGATTTCACTACTAAGGGTAAAGTTTAATTACAGGTATTTTCTTATCTTAAAGAAACACTCCACTGTTTTTGAAAATAGGCTCATCTCACAACTTCCTTAAAGATTAACAGTTTAACATTTTATGAATCCATTCTGTTGATCTCCAGGTCTGGCTGTAGCACTTTTAGCTTAGCTTAGCATGCATAATTGAATTGGATTAGACCATTAGCATCTCCATCAAATTTTCAAAAATGTTTTCCCATTTAAAGCTTGACTGTAGTTAGATTGTGTACTAAGACTGATGGAAAATGAAAAGTTGCTATTTTTAGGACAATATAACTAGGAACTATACTCTCATTCTAGTGTACTTTGCTGTTGTACCATGGGTGCAGCAGGGGCAATGATGGAGGTATTCAAACTGGTAGTTCAAGTGTAGGGCTTGGTCCTGGGGACTGTTTTCGTGCACTGCAAAATATCATTGAGCCTGCTACCAGTTCCTTGATTATCATAAAATAATGAGAGTATACAGTAGTATCATATAGATATGAGAGTATCTATATCGACCTAGAAAATAGCAACTTTTCATTTTCCATTGGTCTTGGTACATGATGTAACTACAGATGAAGCTTTAAATGAGACTAGTAACGAATCTCTTCGGTTATTTTTAAGTACGATGCTAATGGTCTAATCTGTTTCAACAAGTTATGCTAAGCTAAGCTAAAGGTGCTCCTGCCTGACACGGATATCAGCTAAATGGATTCAAAACTAGCAAAAATCAACAGTTTATCTTTAGGGGAGTTGTAAATTGAGTCTATTTATATATATATATAATATAATATATATATATAAAGTATATATATATAAAAGATAAAAGTGAAGTGTTACTTTAAGAAACTTTCAATAGTCTCATTATATGCACAATAATAAAAGTAAAAGCCAAGGGTTTAAAACTTCACTTGGCCAGATCTTTAATCACAGCTCATGGCAAACGTAAAATCGAAAGCAAATGTCTCTTGTAAATAAACTGGGCATTTCATCAAATCCTGAGTATTACATAATCTTCAATTTGCATGCTTTACTCCACACAATGCACAATGAAATATAATAGTTATAAATAGTTATAATATTTATAATTATAAAAATGAAGTTAGTTTAAGTGTAAAAATATAAGACAAAGGTCCCCTCACGTGTTGCAGGAAGAGGTGCAGCTCTGGGTGGCTGCTGGGATTGACAGTGACCTCAAACAGAGGCATGAAAATGTTCGCTAACATCTCCTGGAAGTTTGACAGCTGTTTTTTGGTGTGGTAAACATCACTGCAGAGAGAAGAAACAAACTTTTACCTTATCTTTTTATCTCTGGGATAGCTATAGTCTGAGATTTCATCTGAAATTGATAATTATGGGAAGTAAAAAGGAATTTTTAGGAAGGTAATTCCACTTCTGAGCTTTTTAGTTTAATTTTCAGTTTTCCTTTTTGTAAAATGGATGTAAAATCCACTTATAATAAACTCAAATCTTTCCAATTTGAATTTTATTTATTTATTAATTCATTTTCCCTTTAGTCATCAGGGGTCGCCACAGGGGAATGAACCACCAACTTCTACCATTTGTTTTGCACAGCGAATGACCTTCAAGCTGCAACCCAGTACGGGGAAATACCCACACTCTTCAGAAAGTCTTGTTTGCTTTATTTCGGCAACATTAAAAGCAGTTTTTAATTTTTTAAAATCTATTTTAAGATCAATATTATTAGCCCCTTGAGCAATTTATTTTTAGATTGTTTACAAAGCAAACCATTGCTTAACTTTATTAATCTAATTAACATAGTTAAATGAAATAATAAATAAAAAAAGCCTTTTAAACTGCACTCGAGCTGAATTTTAGTATCTTGAAAAATGTCTAGCAAAATATTATTTACTGTCATCATGGCAAAGATAAAACGAATCACTTAGAAATAATTTATTTAATGTTTAGAAATGTGTTTTAAAAAGTTTTCTTCCATTAAACACAAATTGATGAAAAAAATATTTTAATAATTCAGAAGGGCTAATAATTCTGACTCTGTATATGAGAAACATTGCACATGTTTGAAGGAGACAGTTACAATTTTCTTGTGACTGTCTCACCAAAATTAAAAAAATTCTTACCAACCCTAAACATCAAAATATTATAGTATATATTTTTTAGTTTTAGAAAACAATAAGGCAAAAAATAGATATTAGCATTGATATTTACTATTGTTCAGTACTCACAAAAGCCGTGGCACCTGCACCAGCCAGCGCACATTATCTGAATAAACCTTGTGTGTGACGGCCCACTGAGCCAGTTTATCCCATTCATCTCTTGATCTTCCGTAGATGGAGAGACGCAGCTCCACGTTCTGATATTTGCTCTCCTCCAGATCTGCCATCACCTCCTAAAACACACCAGCACACAACTATCTGCAGGGGGCGCAAGTCATCCTATAAAACCTCATTCATCAACATCTTCATGCATAAATAATTATATGTAACAACCCATACCTTGATTATGTGCCCAAAGTATTTGCCCTCAATGTGGTTGTCAGTTTTGATAAAGATTTCCCGAAGAATGGACTCTCCAATGGGGTTGTATTTGGAGTTGAACTTATCAAAGCGGTGGAATGTGTTTCGGTCCTGTGGGAAAGAGAGAATTCTTTAAATATTTAACTCCTGCAGATCCTTATGGCTAGTTTGTCTTGTTAATTTTTTTTATTATTTTGTGATATTTTGGCTGTGTAAATGCAAACAGCACAACTTTTGGTGTAAAAAGGTTTTTTTTTAATAAACTGTTTTCTTTCTAGAAATCTGTATTACAATACATAGAAAAAAGTTAGACTAAGGACATTTGGGACAAAATGCCCGATTAAATATTTCGTAGATATATTAAATGTTTCATCCCAGTGGCATTTCAGCAAAAAGTCATACATTCTTGGATAACACGTTTCAATTTTATTGGCAAGATTTTGATGTGGTATTCATTCATCCATCCATTTATCCATCCATTTTCGTTTCGGCCAAGTCACTTTATTATTCTGGGGTCGCCCCAGCGGAATGAACCGCCGATGCTGAATAATTTAAATTTATTTTATAATTATCATTTTTTTGAACATTTATTTTAATTTATTTTGTTGAATCTATTTTAATTGTTTTCTGCTTTTGGGCAATGCATGTGTAATGTAATGTGGACGCTGTGGTTAATTTGAGAATAATCAGGCAAGCAACAGTCAACACAGGAGCAAACTTATGTATCCAGGGAATCCAGAGTCGTAGTGAAATAACAGGTGAGTGGTCAGTACAGGCAGGCAGCAGTCAACGTAAACAAACAAACAAACAAGACAAGGGTCAAAAATACAGCAAGACAAGGAAAGGAAAATGCATCAAAATGTTCACAATCAGTATAACACGACTTAGCAACTAGTGTGTGTCTCAGTGCTGCTTTTAAAGTCCATGTCATCAGTTCTGAACAGCTTCAGTTGTGTGTGTTATCAATCAGGAGACAACCAGAACAGATCTGAGTGTGTGGTGCATTACAGGTCCATGTAGTCCATATACCAACGGATTTGTAGTCTTCAGCGATCTGCCAGGATTAGATTGCTGGTGATTGTGACAGCATGCCAAATAAATGGAAATTCTGGATTTGTTTTGTATGTACATATAAGAAATTTGCATGTGTGTGAATTAAAATGATGTATATAGAAACTAATAGATTTGATTGTACATTTTTTATTTAAAAAAACAATAGTGGGATTATAATAAATTGTAATTGAAAGATTTAGCATTAATTAAATTGATAAATATGATCAGTACTAATGCTGGTAAAGAAATCTGTCAGTAACAGTGTACTTTGTCATAAATATTTAATAAATTATGATAACATCTATGGGCAAAAACTTCAACATTTTTGCACATGCTTTCCAAAACCTCTTCCACAGAATAGTTATTCCCACAAAAAATTCAGAGAAGAATCTCTGCTAATATAGATTATTATTCACATGATTTAGAGAGCTATTAAACTGCGGTCAAGGTTGTATAGCGTTCATTTAGAGAACAACAGTTCATTCATTGGCTTATTCAGTTTTCACTTAAGTGCAAACCCTCTAAGCTTGTGCGACTGCATCTGCAACGCTGTGCTACATATTTTCAGTGAGAGTGACCCAGATCCCACACAAACACATGGAGTCTGGAGCTCCCACTAGATGTTTGCTTTGGCATCTACTGTGTGAAACAGCACTGAACTACAAGATAACTTCAGATTCAGAATGGTTGTGTTATATTGTAGGTTCCAGTTGTCTGTTTGTTTGTTTTTTATTCTAAGTCTGCTTTGTTCCACTTTATGACGTTTTAACGAATAATATGAACAAGATATAACATCAAACAGTATAGTTTAAAAGGAATTTATATTTAGGAAATAAAAATAGGATGAAAGGGACAGAAATATTTTTCTAAGTATCCTGAAAAAAACAAACAGTATATTATAATTTCTCAGCATATTATGATTTTACGAGGGTTGTGTACAACTGAAGACTGGAGTAACAAAATTCACGTTATAAAATCATTGTTCATTTTCATATTTTTTATCTCATACATAATTGTTACAACTACCTAACCAGTAGAAAAAAAATAGAAATTTATTAGACAGAAGTTGCAGTAAATAAAAAAAAAAGTTCTTAAAACTAAAAAGTGTTACAATCAAACAAATTTAACATATTTTTGTCTGTTACATTAGTCCCGGTATCAGATTATGCTATTTTTGCTCCCAACTTCTTTCGTTTTGTTATGAAAAAGAAACATGTGGCCAGTCATGATGATGAATTGCTAACAATATGCAAGATTTGTTTGACTATCCAAAAGAGTGTAGCAAACAATGGCTACCAAAGCAGTGTGTTTAAAAAAAAAAAAAAAAGAAAAAAAAAAAGAAAAAACTCAAACATGTACAATGCATTGCATAATTCACCAAGAAGCAGGAATAGCATCATTTTTACTAGCTATTGACAAGCTTTTGTGCACCTACTGGTCAATTTCCCAAACACAGCTAAATCTTACACGAAGGATGGGAAAAAATTAAACCTGCTAGCGTTTCTGTCAGGATGTCATGAAGTGTTCCAGATATGCCATATGTAGGGCCAGACAGAATCTACGGACATTTTTTGCAATTTTTGCAGAGAATTTTGTAAAAAATCTACAAATTTATACAAAATTATTTTAAGAATATCAGAGCGAAAAACTTAATACATTAAATTAAATAAAAGTAAAACTTTTTTTTGTTTTGTTTACAATGCAAATCCAATTAGATCCACTTATTTGGCAAGTTTCTCATTTAATGTATCTACCAAAATACAGAAAATATTACTTTAAAAACTGTATTGTGAATATATCAAAAGAACATTTTAATATAATTATTATTATATACCAATAATTTAAGTGAAATGAATTTCAAAACTGAATAAATTAAAATTTACACACATTTACAGAAGTAAATAAATAGACTCAATGATGAACTAAAAATCAGCAGAAATCTGCGGATTTCTGAGTGCAGATTCCGTGTGGGCCTAGTTATCGTTCACTATAAAACACTATACAGGATAAAATAATGGACTCTTGATATTATTTGCAATCACGACAATGACACAAGTCAAACAGTTTGTGCCAAAATATGGCATTACAAATTATTTATTAACCCTTTCAAACTTACGTTTTAAATACTCCAGCTAACCGCCCGTATAAGTTTTTAAAATGTGACCGTTATTTATAATGCATCGTTTTAAAGTTTCAATGGCAATCTATCAGTTCTTGAGTCAGTTTTATTTCCTTTTCTTCAAATATTGACAAACATCTTAATTATATAGAATATTCTGATTCTGAAATATGTGTAAGAGCATGTATTTCATTGTTTAACCAGCCTAATAAGGATTATATTATCAAATCTAAGATGGATGATGGGAGCAATTAGAGCTGCTGGATTTACAATATGCTAGCTTATCAACTTCTCCCAAATTTTATGAAAGTAATTGGCTGAATAGATTAAATGTTCTAGATTACTTTGACAGCTCTTACCGCATGCATATCCAGAGTATCCACACTGAGGTCAAAGGCCGTGAGGTTCATGCTCTCAAACACTTCTGTCAGGGTTTGTCCTCGGCCTTGTTCAACATGGACGATTTCTCCTGGATATTTCTTCATGGCTCTTTTAATGAAGCGCAGAAGGTGCTTCTGATTCATGCAGGACGAGGCATGGATGTGCGTGTCCACCTGAAGAAGAACACGTCAAAGGTCAGTGAGCAGAAAAGCATGAGAACAGAGCAAGAAAGATTTGTTAAATAAGAAACTTTGTACTATAATAACCACTAAGGAATCTGAATGAATTATATTTTTGTGCTCGTCAATGGATCAACGAACCTTCCTGATATTGTAGAAATCACGATGAGGGACTTTTTTCTGTGCTGCCAATTCTTTCATTTCATTTAGGAGGATGTGCATCTGGAACTTGGAGCTGAGATACTGCAGTCGCCGATAGCAGAAAGATTTCCTGTTAAGAGAAAAATATAAAATCAGAAATCCTTAATCTCTAGCACAGGGGTGGCCAGCCCTGTTCCTGGGGAGCCACCTTCCATATCAAACACACCTGCCTGTAATTATCACATGGTGTTCAGGTCCTAATTAATTGGTTCAGGTGTGTTTGATATGGGTAGCAACTGAAATCTGCAAGAAGGTGGCTCTCCAGGAACTGGGTTGGCCACCCCTGCTTTAGCAGATCAGACCAGGGCTGTTTCTCAATATGCGTTCTTCAGCGGTCTTGCGTCCTCGTGTTCTCGTGCAACGTCATCATCAGCTGCCTAAGTTCAGTTCCAATACTCAAGACCGTAAGTATGGAGGACGCGTGAAACTTCCCGGATGTGATCTTGATATCGAGGACGCACTGATGCAGACTTGAGCACCAAACTCGCTCTGGAAGTCCCAGAAGTCATTGCGACTGGAGTTGGGAAGCGCAGCATTTTATTTAGATTTATTATTAAAGTTCAGAGAGATCACTTACTTACCTCAGGAGTTTCCCTAAATGAAACGGTGAAAGTAAACATTACCATGGACATCTTAATAAAGGAATAAACACATTAAGGGTTGTTTGTTTGCTGAAATTCGTATTAAAATCTGTTTTATTTATATTGTGCAGAGTATATTTCTAATGTTTTTATGCAAAGTATATATTTTGATAAGGGGGGAAACAAAAAAATCGTTGTATGATTGCTGTAATGTTTAAATAATTTACTATTTAAAACGCGTGAAGGTCACGTGACCATCAGGAAAAACGCAGCATCCCATTTCTCAAAGGACGCATTCTCTGCCCTCGCGGTCTCCTGAGATCCTTCTTTCGAGGACACCTGGCAAGACCGGTCTCCACAAGAACACAAGTCCGTTCTCTGCGTTCTTGGAATTGAGAAACAGCCCAGTTCTGGGTATTTTTGGGTCATATTTAAATCAGACACTGCCACCTCTTTATCTTTGGGACATAATTCAGATTTCAGATTAATTACAGGTCTTTATCTCAGTCAGGACGTGTCTATTTTTTTTTTCATCCACAAGGTCAGAGCTGATGCTTTCAATCAAGCAAAGGCACTCGCTCTGTGATCAGCTCACATCTACAGTCTGATGAAGCACTTACACTGGTCCGTTAATGATGAGCGCCATCATCATGTTCATATCAGCTATGTATTCCTGAAGATCTGGGTATGGCAGGTCCAACTCTGACGAACTGATTGTGAAACAAAACACAAGAAAAATATTCAATAAACATGAAAAAACGTTTAAAGGGAAAGAAAAAGCCAACTACTCGTCAATAATTTTTAATAGGTAACTAAATATATATCATTGTTAATTGCTTTTGGAAATGATCAGAAGTCTTACTTGTGTGTGTACACATGAACAACACCATCCACCATCTTGCATGTGTAGCCCAGCGCTGGTGGCATGTTGGCAGGGTCAAGACTCTCATACGGGTGGGTTTTTGACACAGGTGGGTGAACTGTTGCATCTACAGAAAACAAACACGAAGTTATTAATGAAGATTTAATTGGTGATTTTGCTTTATAACAGAAATCAGATTATAGCAAAAATGACACCTCATTAGAAACATGCACTACAGTTCAAAAGTGTGGGGTAGATAAAATGTTTATGGAAGAAATTTGTTATGCACAACAAGGCTGCCATTATTTGATCAAAAATACAGTGAAAGAGTGAAAGGATAAAAGGATGACTATAATATATAGTTATCAGGATTTATAGAGGACACATTAAAAAGTTAGGTAGTGTAATGGTTCATCATATAATAGATTATTTAACAAAACTAATTTTGTATGATCACAAATCTTTTATTTCTTTATTTATATATTTCTACAGTTATAAGAGAATAAGCTGTCATTTTTCCATGAATTTATCTCTTACTCTGAATGATATGTATTCATTCATATTTTGTCATTTTTAATTTTAGTTATACTAAACATTAAAGTGGACAGTTTACTTGTGTTAATCATGCCTATTAATGTACACTGTGAATTAAAAATGTTTACAATGGTTTTAATATAAGCCTACTTTGCTTACTAACACTGTTTTATAACAACACGTGATGAGGTACCGCGAGACACAATATCTTTTCCATGTTAAAAGGAGATACTGTACCTGTGCTGTATGTGCGCACTGTTATTATGATCTTCTCATTGTTTTATAATTCTACCCTTGATCTGAATTATTCATGCAGATTAAACCGAATTGTAGAAACAGAGGGATCTAGATACTTCAACATTAAAGTCCTTACTAAAAAAAGGCTAACATTTACAGTTATGTACTGTATATTTTAAGAAAACGTTAAGGAAACTTACTATTAACCAGGTTATTGATTTTTACTGTAGCATTTTTGGTTTTTACCATCACTTAACAATTTTCTGTAGAATTTACAGTAACTCACTGGCAGCAGTTCACCAGTAACTTACTGTGAATCAATTACAGGAGAAATACTACATTTACATTTACAGCACCATTTTTACAGTTTTTTGTACACCTTTACTGTAAAATATACAGTTATTTTCATGATGCAACTTTAAAATACAGTAACATACTGCATAAACGTCCTACAGTAAAACACAGTTCATTTTAGAGTAAAATACTGTTTTTGACCTAACCATCTGCCACGTCATGGCAGAACAACAGACAGTTGAAATCAGAATCATTAAACCCCTTTGATTTTTTTTCTTTTTTAAATATTTCCCAAATAATGTTTATCAGAGCAAGGACATTTTCACAGTATGTCTGATAATATTTTTTCTTCTGAAGAAAGTCTTATTTGTTTAATTTCGGCTAGAATAAAAGCAGTTTTTAATTTTGTAAAAACCATTTTAAGGTCAAAATGATTAGCCCCTTTAAGCTATATATTTTTGATAGTCTACAGAACAAACCATCATTATACAATGACTTACCTAATTACCCTAACCTGCCTAGTTAACCTAGTTAAGCCTTTAAGTGTCACTTTAAGCTGTGTAGAAGTGTCTTGAAAAATATCAAGTAAAATATTATTTACTGTCATCATGGCAAAGATAAAATAAATCAGCAACTAGAACAGGGGGGCTAATAATTCAGGTGGTTAAATAATTTTGACTTCAACTGTAATATGACAAAGATCACCTTAATTATTGATTATGCAATTAAGTCAGTGTTAAATGCTTCCAAAGTGAATTTAAATAACATTTAACATGACATTTATTGCCATACTACTAAAAAAAGCAACAGATAGTTCACCTCAGATCTTGAAAATAAAATGACTAGAAGATGATTTAAAAATGAAAGTCTGTATTCCAGTGCAAACCGACAACATCAATCACTCTGTAGCATATTGATAATGTTAATCATTTTTATATGTATTAATTAGATTAAAAACTTTCACCCTTTCGTTGGCATTGTGTGTTGTTGGGATATGATTTTAGGCTGCATTTATTTGATTAAAATCCTAGTAAAAAACTGTTAGAAACAAGTATTACTACTGTTGTTGTTGTTTTTTACTGAAATGTAGCTTCATTTGAACAAAAATATTTTAAAATAAACAAAATGTACAGTATACCTTATGATTTAATTTTTATCACCATTATTCTAGTATTTAGTAACATGACCATTTAGACATACTGTTTTTTTATATCAATATTTTGAGACACAATACCAGTGTGTTATCAAATAAGACACAAAATCAGCTTTTTACGCAAAGCACATTAATGGGAATTCCAGAAAACCAATAATAATTTTATGTTCATATATATATATATATATACGTTTGTGTGGTTAAACTGATCACACTTGGTTCATAAACAGATACTGAATCTGTAAACAGAGCACCTGCTTTCACTTCCTTCTGCCTAACTGAATTTGATTGCATATAAAAGATTCAACTGTAAATTATTCTACTTTCTATAACACAGATAAATCCAACGTGTCTCTTATATTTGTTGTGTACTTTAGACATAAAACTATAGTGTTATGAAATCCTTCTATCATCGCTCAGAATATATGTAATAAATGCACCTGCAGAGATGGAGGACTCTGACATCTCGTCGAAGGTGCTGATGTCAGGCGTTTGTTCGCTCAGCTCCTCCTGCAGGTATCGTGCTGTGGTCCTGCAGAAGCTCTGCAAGGACAGAGAAATGTACTTCTCTCGGATGAACAGAGCTTTCACCACACACTTAGCAGCGTCCAGCAGGTCAGTGAATGGAACCTGTAGTAAAAAAAAAGAAGATTGAATTAAATATAGTCTGAAAGTCAGTGAAGTTAATCATCTCTCCATTTATACATGTTATGCCAGTAGGTTTGCGGCAAAAGATTGTGAGTTAAAAAGCCATTCACTTAAATGATTCATTCAAAAATACTGATTCATTTAAGAAGGAAACAAGCAGGGCTGCATTCCTCTTTCCTTTTATGTCAAAAAATAGTTGAAAAATACCTGTATTTACTGTAATTACTTGTTTTCCCGTACAGTACTGTATTTATTTGTTTACACATTTATTCACTTGTTTATTTTATGATCTATTGACTTTATTATTAGATATTTTATCTAATTTGTATTCATTTGTTTGTTTTAATTAAAGATTATTTTGGCGAAATTTTGCATGAATTCATTTGTTTTAATCTGATTTCATAATTTTTTTAAAGTATTTTATCCTTATTGGATTTTAAAATCCAGATTTATCTTATTTTTGCTTTATATGTATTATATTTGTCTAATATATGTCAATTTTATTCGAGTCAAACATGATTTTAGTTTTATGAATATATATAAATATAAAAGAAAAACTTTTCTGCTCATTTTTCTTCATAAGTTTATGTGAAAACTCTTCAGCTGCATTGCTGTCAGCCTGTTTCCGCTGGGGTTTGTGTATTTGTGTGTGTGTGTGTATGTGTGAGAAATATTTCTCCCTGAGGAGTTTATGTAATGTCTGCAGTGTCCACTCCAGTTCTCTCAACAACATCTTGTTTTAGTGTAATAAACAAAGCTGAAGAGGTCTGTCTGTACCCCACACTTCTCCTCTCCAGAGATAGTGACTCTCTGGTACTCTCTCTCCGGGATAAGCTCTCTCTCGGGATAGTTTTCTATGGGTGTCTGGCTCTGTTCTTTCATATACCTGAAAAAAAAACAAGAGATACAATGTGCTTGTTAAGTTTTGATCCATGAAATACTCTAAGTACTCATTTGAATTAAAAATCTCAATAGCCCATAGCCGTTTATGACTACTGTTTAGTCATGTAGTCATAGACACATTTAAGCAAATCTTTATGATGATTTTGCTCAACCCATTTACAAAATATGGACCATTTGAAATTAGACATGGTTATAAACATTATGCACACCAAACTGTAAGTATATACTTCCTGCTAACAATTTAAGGTTGCAAAAAAACACTCTCTTAATGTTCTCATTTAGTTATATATAATTCATTTTTCAATTGTTCTTAGTAGGTTCAAAAGATCAATCTTTTAGATTATGTAAATAACATAATTTTTTTATTATAATAACATTATTCTCAGCATTTTCATAAGGTTTCATGTTCTTTTCATGTTCTTACAACATTATTTAAAAGGTTATTCGAACATTTCTTCCACATCATATTAATGTTTTAGGAACGTTTTTCTATCAATGTTACAAGAATGGTTCCAAATGCACAACTTTAATAACATTACAAATTAAAACTTAGAAAACCTTTATCAAAGGTTACAGAATGTTTCCTGTTAGCTAGGTTACTACCATTTGTTGTCGATTTTGGACCCAGAAACTATGGCATGTGATGTCAGACTTATCTAGTGGATTAGTCAACAAACAGCGATCATCACAGAAGATGTTAAAGGCACTCACTCCAGGTCCGTAGCGCTGTCTGTTTTCATGAAGTCCTGTTTGGCTCGTAGAAGGATATCAGGCTCAAACCTCAAGAGAATAAGCATTTAATTAACTTTCTGTGGTTCACATGTGCATACAGTCCAATAAATGCTGGACTAACATTGGCTCATGCATTCAGGAGTATATTTCAAATTCCCAGCTGAAAAAGCTAATGCAGATGAACATTAGACTGATTTTCAGGTTGTGTTTTGGTATGGCTGCTCGACTACAACTTGAGATTCAGGTTTTCAAAAAGTTTAACAAAAGATATACACGTTTTATTGTTTTTTAATAGTTAGCTATAATAATTCTGGTTAGCCAGTTGGAACTTTACCAGCAAAACTTTGCTTCTACACCAGTTTTAAGCTAGACATTTTTGTTAGTTAAATACTGAGATCATAACAATTTGTTAGCTTAAGAAATTTGGGATTAACCCTTGTGTGCTTTTGGGGATGTTTTTATCCACTCTGGAGTAATTTTGAGTCTTAATTTGTGCACAACTCTCTCTGTGTTTTAGCAAATGGAATGATTTTTGGTGACAAATCTTATTTTGACACATACTTTGGGAAAATGCTTCAAGTTTCAAAAATTCAACAATACACACGCACACAAGGGATAAAACAGGATAAATACGTGAATGAGTTGAATGTATGTAAGAACTTGAAGAGTGCTGATGGATAATGAGATGCAGTACTTGATATCCTGGCTGATCTGCCGCTCGAGTCTGTGCCGTCTCTCCTCCAGCTGCTCGATGGGGCTTTCCTCTGGGAACTCATATGGAGCGCTGCGCATCTCGCTCTCAGCCAGACTGCGGGAGAACAGCTCCTACACACACACATTCACACAAGCACAGAAACAATACATAAAAAAGTAGGCTACATTTAAAAAAAACTACATTTTATAGTAGGCTATACCTACTATAAACATTTTTATAGTAGGTATAGCCGATCATGGAATATTGATTTGTTATATTTCGTCACCTTAGAATCATAAGGCAACTTAGAAAACTTATTTACATTATGTGATGTTTTTTCTTTAATTGTTGTTTATGTTTTAAGAATTCTTATTTAAAAAAGACAAAAAACGTTTAATCCACAAAGTCAAACTCTAGCTTGGCTCTGTAAGGTTCTTTCTGTGAGCCAATCAGTATTTCGAATGCAAACATGAGGACCAATAAGGATCAGATTTCTTTATCCTTTTGCCAAACTAAGACCAGAAAAAGAGGGAAAGACTAGAAAGAAACACAAAATCAGATTCAACTAAATAATGCCACACAAAATTGAGTAGAAACCTGAAACTGAAAAAAATGTGATGTAGAAGCATTGTTGACATTCAGATGAAATGTTAAATTTTACATTATTGAAAAAGAAATAGTTATAAAAAATGTTATATACTAAATGTGAACTTTTTTATTTGTATATATATAGTCAGTGAAACATTTTTCTGTGATTATTAAACTCATTTGCTCATTGTCTGTTTTGTTTTAAAGTATGTAAATTTGAACCTTGAAGGGGATATACTTTATTTAATTAATGGGGTATATAATAAATACAATAAATATAATTAAATAATTCATACAAAGCATATAATTCAATAAATATTACCATGTTAATTACATAAAATTACCATCTGCACTGGACAAAATATTTAGCACAGCCCTGTTTGCTTTATTTGAACAAGATAAATTATTCATCCTAAAACAATAAATAAATGTTATAGAAAGCAAAAACTTTATTGAACATTAACATATTGTTACAACAGCAATTTCAATTATTTTTATAAAATTAATAAGCAGACTGATTGTATTTGTTGAAAATTAATGCTTCAATTAATGATCTGCCAGATAGAACCTTATAATTCCAACCAGAAAATGACTTTTTACAATTAGAACCTTCTCCCTGCATTTGTCCTTTTTTTAACCTAATTTAAAGAGATAAATTAAAGAGAGTTTTGATACTTTAGATTTAGAGTACATTTTGGGTCTTTGTCATGCTAATGTATGACATATTTTGACATATTGCTTGCTGTATGGAATGCAAAAACTTTGAAGCTCAAAATTTCAAAATCATTTAGAACGCAGAACCTTATAAGTCGACGATTTGGCCAAGGCTATTTTTTAAATAAAATTGTTAAATGTTGCAAATCCAAAGTTTTTTCAACCAATTGTGTTGAGGTTGTGTGAAAAAACTTGGTACTAGCTTGTAAAAGTTTTTTTTTTCTTTTTTTTTTTTGTAAATAATGTTTAAATACACCTAATAAATCAGAGACTACGTTGAGGGAAAGTGAGTGATCCTGCCCACTTCAAAGTTATGCAACTGTTAACAATTTTTTTCTATCACTTTTTACATTTATACAAACCTAGTACTAGTTTACACATTTTTTTTGCTGATATTGTTAGAAATACAAAATACAAAATGCAAACTTACTGTTTTTGAGAAAATGTGGACACTCAAGTTTCAGCAATTTATTTAATGAAACAGGAAAAGACAAAATAAACTACCTATCTACATATTCCCCCGATTTCCAAAGATTTATTCAAACAGCCTGTGCCCCCCCCCCCTTTTCCTTTTTTATTAATTTTTTTATCCCTTTTTTGCTTTTGTTTCCTCAATATTTTAGTTTTTTCCTCTAAATTGAAAACAAGGATGTAAATATGATTGTGATGTTATATTGTCATATTTTTTATTGCATATTGTCAATAAAAAGATTGTAAAAGAAATATATAATAAATCTAAAACACCAGACATTTGGGTCAGGGTGGCATTCAAAGGCATCAAGAGTCGGTGTTGTGATTTGTGCTTTGTTTACCTCTGCAATCTCTTTGTATTTGCCATCCATGGAGGTGCGTAGGTCAATGTGGCCGTGCTTGGTTACAGGGTTGCCAGGCAATGAATACTGGGATGTGAGAAGGTGTCTGCCAACACGGAGATCTACTAATAAGACAGTGAGAAAGACATCTTTATATTTTAACTGAGATGGTTTTCATATTTAAAACATTCAGATTGTAAGATGTAAGTATAGAGAAAAATGTTTAAGCCAAAATGACAACATTGATTGTGTTCAATTATATATAGCGTTGTTTTTCTGCTGTCCAGAGAAAGGCAGGGTCAGAAAGCTGACGAAGATCTGCAACTGTTTGTCCAATTGTCTCAAAAAACAATGGAGCATTCAAGTGGGAGGATATTAGTTTATATGTGAGTGTGTGCTGTGCCTTTGTCTTAGAATGCCAACTTAACTTGTGGGCAAGTAAAGACCAAATGCATCTAGCGCCCACGCTGTAAAAACACAGTTTATAAAATGTTTTCTAAAATGTTTACTAAAGTTAACAAGCACAGCCTTTTGAAGAGGGTTTTAATAATACATTAGTAAATGTAGAACTATGATTAATTAATAACTGCTGTACAAGTACTGTTGAATCTTGGTCCATGTTAGTAAACACATTAACTAATGAAACCTTAATGTAAAGTATGACCCATTCATTCATTCATTTTCTTGTCGGCTTAGTCCCTTTATTAATACGGGGTAGCCACAGCGGAATGAACCGCCAACTTATCCAGCAAGCTTTTACGCAGCGGATGCCCTTTCAGCCGCAACCCATCTCTGGGAAACATCCACACACACTCATACACTACAGACAATTTAGCCTACCCAATTCACCTGTCTTTGGGCTGTGGGGGAATCCAGAGCACCCGGAGGAAACCCACGCGAACTCAGGGAGAACATGCAAACTCCACACAGAAACGCCAACTGAGCCGAGGCTCGAACCAGCGACCCAGCGACCTTCTTGATGTGAGGTGACCGCACTACCTACTGCGCCACTGCTTCGCCCTAAGTGTGAACTGACATTTTTAAAAACTTTTTGTAGTGTATCTGAAATTACTCTTTTTTTTTTAGCTCCGTTCAAAGCATTTATATATACACTCGTCAGCCACTTTATAAGGTACACCTTACTAGTATAGAATTGGACTCCATTTTGTCTTCAAAATTGTCTTTAACCTTCGTAGCATAGATTCAACAAGGTACTGGAAATATTCCTCAGAGATTTAGGTCCATAGTGACATGATAGCATCACGCAGTTGCTTCAGATTTCTTAGCTGCACATCCATGATGTGAATCTACCGTTCCACAACATCCCAAAGGTGCTCTATTGGAATGAGACCTGGTGACTGTGTAGGCCATTTAAGTACAGTGAACTCATTGTCATGTTCAAGAAACCAGTCTGAGATAATTCATGCTTTACAACATGGCGCGCTATCCTGCTGGAAGTAGCCATTAGAAGATGGGTACACTGTGGTCATAAAGGGATGGACATGGTCAGCAACAATACTCAGGTAGGCTGTGGCGTAGACACAATGCTTGATTGGTAATAATGACCGCAACGTGTGCACCAGTCTAAATCGGTGATATAAGGCAGGATGGATCCATGCTTTCATGTTGTTGATGCCAAATTCTGACCCTACAATCCAAATGTTGCAGCAGAAATGGAGACTCATCAGACCAGGCAACGTTTTCTCTATCTTCTATTGTCCAATTTTGGTGAGCTTGTGCATTTGGAGCCTCAGTTTCCGATTCTTGGTTGCCAGGAGTGGCACCCGGTGTGGTCTTCTGCTGCTGTAGCCCATCCGCCTTAAGGTTGGACGTGTTATGTGTTTAGAGATGCTCTTCTGCATACCTCAGTTGTAATAAGTGGTTATTTGAGTTACTGTTGCCTTTTTATCAGCTTGAACCAGTCTGGCCATTCTCCTCTGACTTCTGGCATCGACAAGGCATTTTTGTTCACAGAACTGCCGCTCACTGGACATTTTCACTTTTTTCGGACCATTTTCTGTAAACCCTAGAGATGATTGTGTGTGAAATCCCAGTAGATCAGCAGTTTTTGAAATACTCAGACCAGCCCGTCTGGCACCAGCAACCATGCCACATTCAAAGTCACTGAAATCCCTTTTCTTACCCATTCTGATGCTTGGTTTGAACTGCAGCAGATCGTCTTGACCATCTACATGCACTGAGTTGCTGCCATGTGATTGGCTGATTAGAAATTTGCATTAACGAGCAGTTGGACAGGTGTACCTTACAAAGTGGCCGGTAAGTGTATACTTTAGCACAATTGCAAATATACAGATTAAGAAGATTTTTGCTGTGCAGCATAAGCCAAAAGTATAATCAAATGTATTAACCGTAAATCAAAAATGTTTCAATACCACAACAAAATTTAGCCTCACAAAAACACGCTTGAAAACACTTTCGCTTTCCCCCGAGTAAAGCTCAACTCATCAGCTCAAGGTCCACAGGTCCCGCAAGTGATATCAGTCTTGCTAAACTCTGACGTCTGATCAAATATTCATAAGGCTAATGAATAATTAATCAGCCATGTCTAGCCCCTGCACTGCAGAGACCTGGACATCTCAGAAAACGACCAGAGAACAGGCGGACTCCCATTCTTACAGCTCTCAGCAGGATTCAGAAACCTCCAGCAGAGCTCAAAATGTGGTAAAGACGTTACAGTTTATACACTTACAGATAATACACTTTATTTTAAACTTTGTTTATTTCTGCTACAGTAAGAGTTGTTTCATCAGCCTGAATTCATCCCAGGCTCTTGCACTCATATGTTCATCACTGTTTTACCAAGAAGAGCTGAAACTTTCCTTTTTTTCTGTTTTTTTTTTGCAGCAGAATGATCAACTCCCAAATTGTAAACCCCTTTTTTACAAAATAATTTTGTAGTTTTAATTATTTAAATATATATTTAGGAGCAGCATGGTGGCTCTGTGGTTAGTGCTGTCGCCTCACAGCAAGAAGGTTGCTGGTTCGAGTACCGGCTGGGTCAGTTGGCATTTCTGTGTGGAGTTTGCATGTTCTCCCTATGTTAACGTGAGTTTCCTCCGGGTACTCCGGTTTCCCCCACAGTCCAAAATTGGCTGTAGTGTATGTGTGTGAATGTGAAAGGGTTTGAGTGTTTCCCAGTACTGGGTTGCAGGTAGTAAGACATCCGCTGCATAAAACATATTCTGGATAAGTTGGCAGTTCATTCCACAGTGGCAATGTCTAATGAATAGACTATATACACACACTGTTAACAATGTAGGATTTACAGTAACTCACTGGCAGCAGTTTGCCAGAAACTTACAGTAAATCAATTAGGAGAAATACTGTATTTACATATACAGCACCATTTTTACAGAGTTTTATGTATATCTTTACTGTAAAATATACAGTTATTTTCACAATGCATTCACAATGGGGCTGGTGATTTCCAAAAATCTATTTATTGTTATTAAACCATAACCTACTGAAAAGAAAAAAATTGTTATTTATAGTTACTACATACTACTGTAGAAACAGTAGTTATTACAATACCTTATAGTTACTAGTTCTATTGGATTGCGATCCCTGGGGTAATATTAAAGATACAGCAATAGCGTGAGATGCAGCAAATTGGTTTTATAAAAGCAGGTTAAACTTTCTGGCCCATTTGCAGCACTCACATACATAAAAAAAAAGAAGAAGAATAGACTTGGATCTATTGGTGTGTGTGTGTGTGTGTGTGTGTGTGTGTGTGTGTGTGTGTGTGTGTGTGTGTGCACCATTGCATGCAAGGTTTCTGTATTTACAACCACCTCAGAAGATATCGAGGGTCGCGAGTCACTGGCATTGTTATTTTGGGGGTCACGGGCTGAAAAGTTTGGGAACCCCTGGTCTACTCTACACTAAAGCCAAGCTCTATAAAATCTTTCCTTCTGTCTCACCAATGTGCGATAGATGCAAGACAGTAGAGGACACCTTTGCTCACGCCATTTGGCTCTGTCCCTTACTGAACAGATTCTGGACAAACATATTTGACTGGTTCTCCGAGGCTAATAGCAGACCTTTTCTGCCAGATGCCAGAAATATACTTCAGAAAACGTGTAGATGTACATTTTTCAGACTAGTTTGCAAAAAAAGTGCAGTGAAAAAATAAACACAGTTTCAGTTGGAGCATTAATATATTATTTTGCCATTAAACTCAGCAGCTGTTGAGAACACAACACTTTCTCAACACACAAACTTGAGTCGCATCTGTTGTTTTTCCCCTTCTAGAGCTTTACCATTAATCTCAAGGACAAAGACTTGGTTATATCATTGCCATTTGATGTAATGCACACATTCTCATCCGTCCATCTGCTTGGACTCAATCACTAATTACTATAATTATCAACAGTGCTCAAACACAAACGAGAGCAGCAGAACTGAATAATTTAAAGTTAAGCATCACAGGATATGCCCAATCATCTTATGCTGGAATCATGTTAAACTGACCCTGGTTCAACAACAGTTTACATGATGCTTTACTGTTTTACTGCTCTGGCAAAGTTAATGTGCAACAGACTTATCGCTGAGTTTATTGAAGGTAATTAACGATATTGAACTCGCTGCTAAAATCTGTCTGGCTTTTTCACAGGTCCAGATGGTGGATTCATTATAACAATGACAGTTCATTAGCACACAAGCATCGATAACACACTTATAATAATCACACTTCTACCTCCACATAATCATGCCTACGTGTTTCTCACTTTACTGCAAACTAATGTAAAAGACTTTTTTGACAACATGACTATGGCAAGAGATTCTGTTTGGATTTTTGATGAGCATTGAGCCTAATTTGTTAACTAATGCTGAATTTATTTAATCAGAAATAAAGTCAAAATATATATTATACATTATCAGATTCATTATAATGATTTTTGAAAGATCATGTAAAAACGTAGAAAAGAGTAATGATGCTTTCATAATGACCATAAGAGACTTAAAACAAAAAAGCGTTTAATATAAAACTGGAGTACACATGTTGTAAACAGTAGTATACATGACTCATTCCAGAATTGTGAGTACATTTTAAGCATTTTCCATTTATTGTCCTTAAACTGGAGTTATATACAACAAAAGTTTA